AAAAAAAAAAAAAAAAAAAAAAACATCTAATACAAACTTCAAACCCATTTGTAGCTAATAAAGATAGCTTGGCTTCACCTATTGCAGGTTGACAAAGTATCTATCCTTGCTCATAAGATAGAGTACCTAAAAGAGCTGAAGAGAAAGTATTTTTCTTTCTATTGTTAAAACTGTTGGGGATTCATTGAGATCGACATTTTTTGTGGTCAATATTGTTTTTGTCGAGCATTTTTCTCATATGAAGGTTGTTGATGGATCTCATGGAGGATGGAAAGCAATCAATATGGTAATTGTTGTTCCACCAGGTGAAGGGCACCTTCTTGTCCTGCTCTGTGATTAGGGATTTGAGGAAGGGTTTGGGAAATGAGGCAGGGGGGGTTGAGGGATATCCTCACTTTCCAGCAAGGGTAAAGCCAATTTGGCTGAGCTCCAGATGTTTCACTCCAACGACTACCGTGGACGGGGTAATCTTTCTTCCTTTTTGGCGGCTCTCTTTAACTTCAAAGAAAAAATCTTTAAACCTAAGAACCTCTTTTGATCGCTGCCTTTTTTCTTTTTTATCCTGTTCCCTGCTTCTACCGGAGGTAAAATTCTGGCCATGACCATCAGTTTGGGATAAGGAAAAGCATGTTTTCTGATTCACTTTTCATATTTATGCTTAATAATGTATTGTAGGAAAATTCTTATGTTTGTTTGACTGCTCTGCATGGCATGTATATGCATGTATGTTCCTCCAACACTTTTGTAAATTTATCAATCTGATGTTTTTGGTTTATGCTGAACCAGTCAGTTCTGCTAATGTTATTTTGTTGTCCTTGTCAAATGAAATTAAATAATGTTATTAGTCCAATTTTTATTTTAATGGATTAAAATGAGATAATATACTGCTCTGGTCATTTTTTGAGAGTATAACTATACAATTTACGTGTTTCATTTAAATTTAATGTTTCTGTTAAAAGCTTTATCGTCTGCTACAGTTTTATATTGCTTTATTCTACCATTTTAGTAATATATGGATTGTTTTGATTAAAGTGGAGACCTAGCTCTGACATAAGCATCTCATGGAATCTTGATTATAATGGAGACCCAGTTGTTCAACACAATTCGAATTGGAGAACTCCAGATTCTCGAGGCAATGGCGGATGAGGACCAGAACCTGCTGGAATAGAAAAAGCTTCGCTGAATGCTTTCCGTGCTCCACGTGGTGGCCGTGGGTGGCAGATTAAGGTTAGGGTTCAAATGAGAGCCCGTTCATTGGTCTTTGTTTACTTTTTTTTTTTTTGCCTTTTTTTTGTTAGTTTGAGGGTGTTTTGTTTGTTTGATTTTTGTTTTGGCTTGGTTAGGTTCTTTCGATGCTTCTGGATCGGTTTTGGAATCCGGATATCCTCATTCGACACAAGTAGACAAATTCATTTCTGGATTTGATTTCATTTTTTTGTTTAGTAATTTTTATATTCGATGTGTGTTTTGTGAACTCAATCAAGATACAATTGTTGTTACTAATCGGCACAATGCATGGGAAGGTCTTGTGCATGAAAAGGTTGATTCAAGTAGGAGCCAATGTATGATGATTCATGGTTTTCGATTCCTGTTTTTTATTGATAGTTAATACATCTCATGTGTACACGTTTCGGATTTGTGTGTAATTTGATGATTGAGTTTTGTTGTAAATTATTTTTTTCCTTGTTATTTTCCAGATTTTTTTTGCTTGAGACATTTTATATTTTTCTACAAATTTGTTGTTTGATACAATATGGGGGTGATCCATGAGCGTGATTGTTGCACTTCCAAAACCTTATACTTATAGGGTATTGTTGGCAGTGAAAGAAGAAATGTTGAGAAGAAACGTGAGGCTGGGGAGGGAGTATCTTTATCGGAAAAGCTTTGAGGGCAAAGAGCATTTGCTCTATGAGAAGAAGCACAAAATTCGCGAAGCTTTTGCAGGTTTTAACTTCATTTCCCCTGTTCTGAATCTAAATTGACGAGAATAATTACAAAATCCCAGTTTTTCACAAAAAAAAAATGTGTTCTTAGGTTGATTTTAGAGTCTGTCTCGACCACAGGGAGAGGAGAGATGTAAATTGACGAGTATCAGAATCTGTGTTTTTAGGTTGATTTTAGAGTCTGATTTTATTGAACAGAGAAAACCAATACCAGCCAAGCTCAGAAATGAAGAGGGGACGCTCCGTCCGGAAATTGACCCCGAAGATGAAAATACTATTGGTACTACTCGCGACCGACTTGGTTTAGTGCAAATTTGGATTGCAATAGGTTTTTATTTTATTTCATTTTCTATGTTTTGTTGTTCAATTTAATTTTCCTTTTTTGGGTTTGAGGGTCGGGAAGGCGCTGAACATGGGATTGCGGCGTTGGTTGGCGAATTTAATGGGTGATGTGAGGCTGATGATTGGGGTATCGGGTGTTTTTGTTTGCCAGTTGCTTAGTAGATGGAATAATTTGTGAAGTTCACCTATTGAGCTCAGTTATTGTTGTGGTTTTTTTTAGTTGAAAATTTGAGCTGAAATGTTTAATTGGATGTATTGGATGTAGTTCCTTGTTCAACAGTCGCTGATAAATATGCAAATGCTGCCGATAGAGATCCTACGATTTTGCTTACAACTTCACGTCATCCGAGTTCTTCCGGATACTCTAAAATTGCTTGCAGTATAAATTTTGTAATTATCTCATTTATATGAGTGAATTTCTTTATAGTTGAATAATTGAATACTTGTTAGTATTTTTAATATGTGTAAAATAATTAAATGATTTATAAAGAAGGCATTATTTTCAAATGCAGTACAAAAAATAACCGCCATCAATAATTTCTTAGATTATGCAGAGGTTGAAATTTTTCATTTAGGCTTGTAGCTCAAAAATCTGGTTGGATGTTGATTTGCTGTTCTTATCTTGCATGAGGTATTTTGTTATTAATTTTAATTTTGCAAGAATTACAAGCCAGAGTTTATTCAAGATAAACTTTCTACATTTTTTCTCTAATTTTGTTGATTTGTGTAAATTTACTAACAATAGTTTAAAAAGAATATATAAATTCAATTGATCATTATTTTTTCTATATTTTTAGACTAAATTTAAGTCCGCCGTGCGTGCACGGCGTGAAACAACTAGTATATATATATATATATATATATATATATATTGTGTGAAATCAAGTGCTAAACAAAACCCATATGAATGCACGAATGGTATGGGCAAGTACCCATATGTGAAATCAAGGACGGAATTTCCCAACAATCAACGAAGAGATAAAACAGTATACATCATCATTCAAATACATTAGAAACCCGTACATACAATATATTACTTAAATAGCTACTCTACTCTACACATAAAGTGTGGGAGATAGCCTTGGAGCAACAAGTACATCGAGGGGCGTGGCTTTCATGATGGTCAATCCAGTACTCTCCGTCATATCAATCCCCTCATCGCCCACCGTCCAAAAGTCAAAAGAGTGCAACAACCTAGCCAACACGAAATGCATCATCTGCAGGCCGAAGTTGTAGCCCGGGCAGATCCTCCGGCCAGCGCCAAATGGGATCAGCTCGAAATCCGAGCCCCGGACATCCATATTCTTGTGAGTGCTCAGAAATCTCTCAGGCTTGAATTCCAAGGCATCGGGGCCCCACACGTGCGGGTCTCGATGCAACTTCCATAAATTCACCAATAGCCACGTTCCCTTGGGTATGTGGTAGCCTCCTACTGTGCAGTCCTCGGAAAACTCACGGGTGCCGCCAAGGGGGCCTGCAGGGTATAACCTTAGGGTCTCTTTGGTTATGGCTTGAAGATATACCAGATTGCGGATGTCTGATTCTTCCACTTGTCTTTGCTTGCCAACATGTTTGTCGAGCTCTTCCTGAGCCTTTTTGAGGACATGAGGATTGTTGAGGATGAGGGAAAATGCCCAGACCAACATCACAACGGTCGTGTCCGTCCCACCCGAAATCAGAGACTGCACATTAATTAATTAATCAATTGATTATTACAACAGAACAATCATTTAGTAGTAATTGGGGTGTGTGCTAAAGTAGTAGCTTGGAAGAGGAATCATTCTCCAAATTTTTAAAAATTAAAGTTCTAATGCTAACTAATCTTATTGGCCGGTTTGTCCATTTAAAGTTCAACACAAATTGAGTCAATTTGTCAAAAGCGAAAGACATCACTGCCAGTTCCGTACTGGATTATTTATCAATTTCTCAATAGTTTCACGTTTAAATCCATTTGACCAGGTCTATTGTTACCGATCCGAATAACCCCACTGGGTACCGAATCAACCCATCATGGCCGTTGGGTTAAAAAACTATGCTTAGAAGCTCATCCATTTAAATAATAATAATAACAATTAAGAAAATACACATTTTCAATCCCAGCCCCCTCATTATCACCTCCTATTATTCAAGTCACACCAAATTTAACTATTTCTATCCCAGACCCAGGGCTTACGGAAAACGAAGAGGAAGTGCCTCATTTACCCTCTGAAGAAAAACAGCTAGTTCTTACCAAACCAGGAGTAACCAGCGACAAACAAAACAATCAACCTCATGCTACCACAAACTTCTGATCCCTATGTATGTAATTGGATTTGTGGACACACAAAGGTCGACTCGACTTTTCCGGAGGATATTAGTGATTAGCCTTACGAAAAATAGATATAGATTACATATATTTTTATAATTTGTTTATTTTTTTTTTTTCANTCTAAAAGCTAGTAAAGTATAATAGAGTTTTAGTTTTCACAAATACCTATTCCATGTAAAACTAATTCTAAAAATCAATTCTTTCATATAGTCCCATTTTACTAAAAAATAAATCGATTAGCAAGCATACCTCGCATGTAGCTTTTATGATGGTATCATCATCATATTCGCCATGAAGGCGAGCTTCCCTAGAAACCGATATCATAATATCCATAAAATCCCGCGAACAATCCCCCTGTCCACGCCTGTGCTCGTCCAACCATCCCCGCACAATCCCATCTAACTCCCTCGCATTTTCCTTCATCCTTTTCTCATACCCACCGATATCCAGCCACCCGAGATAAGGCAAGGCGTCGGCCACCACAAACTGCCCCGCCAGCTTGAAAAAATCCCGCATCACCTCCTGCCACCTCCCCGTCTCCTCCCCACTTCCACTAAACCTCTTACCAACCACCATCCTCAGCACAATATTCATGCTCAAGTCACCAAACCACCTCTTCATGTCCACCAAAACCCGACCCGACCCGTCTTTTTTCTCCTCCCAGGCCCGGAACAGTTCACCCACAGACTCTGCCGTCTCTGACCCGCGAACCTCCGTCTGCATCTCGAGCCTCCGGGCAGAGAGCAGCTCGAACGAGATGAGTTTACGAATCCGGCGCCAGAAGGGCCCGTACGGGGAGAACCCGAACATGGCGTAGTTGTGGCTCAGATGCATGCTGGCCCGCAGCTTCGGGCGGGATGAGATGGCAGCGTCGAAGGTAGTGAAGAGGCTCTTGGCGAGTTCCCAGCTGCTGACCACCAGGGCTCGTTGCACGCCCAGCCGAATCGTGAAGATTGGCCCGTATGTGACTGAAAGATTGGCCAGTTTGAAGTGGGGGAGCCCGCCGGTGGGGGACAAGAGGTGGAGGTGCCCTGTGAATAGCCGTGCGCCGCCGACTTCTGGCGGGGATTTTCGTGTGCTGGTTTTCGGGCTGTGAATCCATGTAGACCGCCTCAGAAAGTAGAACAAGGCCAAAAGTGCGGCAATGATGCCGTTAATGGATCCAAATAGTGATAAACTAAGTTCCATTATTGTTGAAAGTAAGAGTTTATTGGGTAATTGAATACTGTATAGATATATATACATACATATATGATTTTTTTTAATACTAATCATTGTGACAAATAAAGTGGAAAATCAGTGGGTTGAATATTCTTCTCATGTGATAATATTTTACGGTATTTGTTAGAATGATTAACATATTTGTTGTCTTTTTGTTCAGATTCGTAGGATGCGGTGTAAAATAGGTTAAACTATTCTAAAGTAAATATAATTGAAAAGTGATAGATGAGGTTTACCTACGACAATGTTTATCGTTAGTGGATTACTCGGAAAATGACAAAAAGAAAAAAAGAGTCGTGCATATATGGCAATTGGCAACTCAGGTTACAAAGTGACGCTTTTCTTTTTTTTTACCAATAATAAGTTTTTTATTCGAAAACTGTGTAACTCAGATTACAAAGTCACGTTGAGTCGCCATCGGGTATGATACGACCATGTGAATGGGGTTCATCTCAGACCGGTCGAAATTCGAGTTTAGTTATAGTTATATTTGGTGGGCGCTAGGTGAAGACCAACTCAAGGTGAGCTAGGCGAAGGTGATCGCCTAGGCAGCGGGGCATCTCCGCAGCTAGGCAACTAGGCAGCTAGGCGCCTCGGCATTTGGGCAGCTAGGCACCTTGGCACCTTGGCGGAGGCACCTCGGCACCTGGGCAGCTAGGCACCTCGGCACCTAGACAGCCAGGCACCTCGGCACCTAGGCAGCTAGGCCAAAGGGTTCGGCCGAGGTAACCAGAGCCCAACGGTGGCTTCGTGGCCAAGTCACAAGGAAGTTTGTAGTGATAAGAACTCTGAAGTTCTTGATATCTTCGACCTAATTTAGAGATAAACACGAGGAAGACTTCCAGAACAACTAGGACTCTTCATGGCCTCACCTATAAAAAGGAACAGGTTCATTCATATTACACAACACACATACACATATTATCTGGTTACTCTGCCGTTTTCTCTCCGAAACACCACCACTGACTTGAGCGTCGGAGTGTCCACGCCGGGACCACCCCCGGCGTGTTTTGCAGGTACCGGCGATCGAGAAGGTTTAATTCGATTCTAGAGGAGCGGTCGAGCGGTTCAGGTATTTGTGGTATAACAAATTGGCGCCGTCTGGGGGAAAACTCAGTCTTCTACCAGAGTATCATAGGCTGTTTTTTCTCACTAAAGAAGAAGGAAGGTAACGAGGATCATGGCAGGAAATAACTTGAAGAAAAACTTAACAAAGGATATGGATGAGGCGTGGACGAAGAGGGCTCTTGGAACTGGGCCGCCGCCCGGGTGGTCGCCGTCGCCTACTCCCCCCAAGGAGACGTTGACCCCGACACCGCCACTAGGAGCTCAAGGGCGTATGGCGAACCCAGGGGAATCGGGTGGCTTGACCAACAAGGAGAAGGAACTCGGCGGTGCAACGAGTGGAGGAATTGGTCAGGTCGGCCAGGTCCCTGATGGGAACACGGGTCAGGTGACCCCGCTGAACAATCAACAAATGGTCTTGGCAGGAGAGACCACCCAACTGAACGATCACCAGATGGTCTTAGCAGGAGGAACTAACCCCCCAGGCAACTCCTCGACGGCAAGAGGAGAACAAACGATACATGTGACGAGGGCGGAACTGGACAGGATCATAGCAGACGCAATAGGGCGGGCTCAAGAGGTTGATCGGCGAGCTAATGAAGCGCTAAGGCAGCCCGTGCATCAGCAGTTGTCCTTACACCCCCACCAAACCCACCAGCGCGAAAGGGGGGAGGAGGATGGCGATGGGTCGGCGACATCTCGACCCTTGGTGGCGCATCAGGAAGGGTTGACTCTGGAAAGACTAGCAGAACAAATGCGTGAGATGCAAGCCCGACTCCCAGGGAGAAGGGTGGGCAGGTCGCATGGTCATCCTTTTTCGGAAGAGGTGCGAGGTGGAGACTTGCCAAATAACTTCAGAGAGCTGAGCCTATCATATGATGGGTCGGCAGATCCTGCTAGACACCTGAGGTCGTTCGACAACATAGCGGTCCTGCACCGATACAGCGATGCGGTTAGTTGTCGGGCTTTCTTAACTACCTTGAGGGGCTCAGCACAAGACTGGTGCCACCAGTTGCTACCTGGTTCTATTGACAGCTTTGAGAGGTTCAGTTCTCTATTCTTAAACCAGTTCGCTAGCGCTAGGAAGCATGAGAAGACGTATCTCTCACTAATCAAATGCAGCAGAGGGAGGGGGAGAGTCTGCGACAGTATGTTTCAAGGTACACTAAGGAGTGTGTGGAGGTACCTTCTGCTACTGAGGAGATAAAAGCTGGGGGTCTCACGTGGGGTTGAGACCCGGTAAATGCAGGGATTCACTGGCGAAGAGGCCTGCGAGGTCCTTTGACGAGCTCCTCGAGAGGTGTAGCAAGTATGTGAATATGGAGGAGGCTGAAGCGGGTTTCATTCAGAATGACAAAACAAAGGCTAAACAGGTAGACGAGAAGCCTCGACAAAGTGATCGCCGAACTGCTGCTAAGGAGTCCAAGGTTGAGGAGCGGTTCAGGGGTCCGAGGTACGAGCATTACAAACCACTTAATGCTCCGCAGCGGGAGATCCTTGAGATGATGGAAAAGCGGGGAGAGGACAAATTGCTCGCGCAACCAAAACCTCTGCCCCCACTGCGAGAGTTTTTAGCCGGAAAGGATAGATACTGTCGTTACCACCGTGATTATGGTCATTCTACCAATTTCTGCTGGGAGTTGAAAGACGAAATTGAGCGGCTCATCCGGGCCGGCCACTTAAAGGAGTTCGTGATCAAGGATAAGGAGCGCCAGGAAGATCGCCGTGAAGGGCGTGAGTCAGGTGACAAGCGGAGGAGGACTGATTCAGAACCTGATAGGCCGGTCAAGAAGGGCATAATACACATGATCGCGGGGGGTCCTACGGATGGAGATTCGCATAGGGAGAGGAAGAGGACCTACCGGGGAAAGGGTGCCGCTAACGAAGTGGCTGAGGTGCAGGTGCAGAGGAGCTCGGCCACTCTAGAGTTTGGAGCTGACGATGTGCAGGGGCTTGTTGTCCCACATAATGACGCATTGGTCATCACTGCGGAGGTGGCCAGTTACGATGTGCAGAGGGTGCTCATAGACACGGGGAGCTCGGCGGACATCATTTTTCTGAAGTGCTTACAACAGATGGAGTTAAACGTGAAGATCGAGCCAGTCCACACTGCTTTTTATGGCTTTAGCGGCAGCCAAGTTCGCCCCATTGGCGAAGTCAGTTTGACTGTGGCGTTGGGAAGGTTACCTCTGAGGAGTGTGAAGATGGTCCGTTTCTTGGTCGTTGATGCTAGCTCGGCATATAACATTATACTGGGGCGGCCTAGCTTGAACTCATTCCAGGCTGTTGTGTCAACTTATTGCATGAAGGTCAAGTTCCCCGTAGGGAATGAGGTTGGAGAGGTGGCAGGAGACCTACTACAATCTCGGCGGTGTTATGAGGTCACATTGAAGATAGCCGAGGCGCAGAACAAAAGAAGAAATGATGACCTACCTGAGTGTTCCCACTGGGAAAAGAAACAAGAGTTGGGGATGAGCTCCCAAGACGAGCTGATGGAAGTTGAATTGATAGAGGGACGGTTGTTGCCACGACTGTGGAACATACTACATTTGAAGAAATATTATGCATAGCTGGAGATATGTCATTTTAATTGCTTTCGTTTGTTTTTATGATATTTCGGCAAGATGAGTAATAAGATTGCATTTGAAGTTTTATCAGTTTGATTCTTTTCTTGTGTGGAATGTATGTAGGGCGCAAGCCTGTCAGTCTCACCTAAGCTCGCGGAGCTAGGCGACGACCTCTGTAGGGCGCAAGCCTGTTAGTCTTGCTTAAGCTCGCGGAGCTAGGCGACGACCTCTATATGGCGCAAGCCTGTTAGTCTCGCTTAAGCTCGCGGAGCTAGGCGACGACCTCTGTAGGGCGCAAGCCTGTCAGTCTCGCTTAAGCTCGCGGAGCTAGGCGACGACCTCTATAGGGCGCAAGCCTGTTAGTCTCGCCTAAGCTCGCGGAGCTAGGCGACGACCTCTGTAGGGCGCAAGCCTGTCAGTCTCGCTTAAGCTCGCGGAGCTAAGCGACGACCTCTATAGGGCGCAAGCCTGTTAGTCTCGCTTAAGCTCGCGGAGCTAGGCGACGACCTCTGTAGGGCGCAAGCCTGTCAGTCTCGCTTAAGCTCGCGGAGCTAGGCGACGACCTCTGTAGGGCGCAAGTCTGTTAAGTCTCGCTTAAGCTCGCAGAGCTAGGCGACGACCTCAGTAGGGCGCAAGCCTGTTAGTCTCGCTTAAGCTCGCGGAGCTAGGTGACGACCTCTGTAGGGCGCAAGCCTGTTAGTCTCGCTTAAGCTCGCGGAGCTTGGCGGCGACCTCTTTAGGGCGAAAGCCTGTTAGTCTCACCTAAGCTCGCGGAGCTAGGCGACGATCTCTTTAGGGCGAAAGCCTGTTAGTCTCACCTAAGCTCGCGGAGCTAGGCGACGACCTCTTCAAGGCGAAAGCCTGTCAGTCTCACCTAAGCTCGTGGAGCTAGGTGACAACCTCTATTAGGCGAAAGCCTGCTAGTCTCGTCTCAGCTCGTGGACCTAGGCGGCGACATCTTCGCCAGTTGACAGGGCCGTCGAATGAAGTGGGGCATACGAGTCTTAAGAGACTTAGCAATAATTGTGCTAGGTGCCAAAGCCCATTGTCACGATGCTAAGTGTTTCAAAGACTGGGTGAATAAGTTCGTCGTGGAAGGATAGATATTGTTGCTTGCACGGTAATGGGTTATATAAGTATACGGACATTGACATAAGTAACAGCACGGTGCCAACAGTTCGTAGAAGTTGGAAATGCAAAACATGGTTCATTGAACATACCCAAAACATACGACTAAATAAGTTCAGAGTTACATGCCAAAATAAATGGAGTACGTTCAAATGTTCTACTTCAACACAAAAGGAAATTACATGACTCTAAGGAGGTGGCGTGCCGTAGACCTTTTCCACATCTCCCCCGAACTTCTTCGCGACAGTAGTCGCGGCAGCCTCCAAAGCCTTATCCCACCAAGGATGGTTCGGGGGAAGAGACTTGTCGCCGTTCCATCCAGATGGGGTAGGGACGCCTTTCAGCAGCGCGTCCTCATCTACGGAGATGGTGAAGCCTTGCTTCTCTGCCTCAGCCTGGGTACGAACGACCCCCTCATAGAAGTACTCACGGCAGGCTGTGCCCATCCGCCGGAGGAATGCTACGGAGTTATGATAGTGTGACAGTAGTTCGGACCGGAAGCACTCGACGAAGTGTTGTCCTACGTCCGATGATAGAAAAGATCCTTGGCCATCCCGTTCGGCCTGAGCAACGCGCTCATCAACTTCCTCTTGAAGTTTTTGTAGCTCGGCGTCTTTGGCTTTGAGCTCGGCGTCTTTGGCTTCGAGCTCGACGTCTTTGGCTTTAAGCTCGGCCTCTTTGGCTTGGAACTCAGCTCGGAGCTTCTGCGTTTTGGCTTTTTGACGATCGAGGGCCTTTTGCAGGTCGGCGACCTGCTCCTTGCCCTTCTCCACCTCGTCCTTAAGGGGATTTCACCTCGTCATCCTCATCCTCCAGCTGCTCGTCGAGGAGATGAGCTATGCCAGCCAAAGCCTGTTTGGGACATGGGGTTAGATTTGCATAGATTTTGCAATATGTGTTTAATAATGGTGTAAGTTAAGTGTGATAGGGTCATACCAGACCAAGGTTGTAGGTGATCGTCTCGGCTCGCCTCTTCTTGGTAGGCCATTGCGTTGTCTCGCCCTTCGGAAAAATGTCGAGGAGGTAAGAGCTGGTTACCGATACGTCCTTGTTCCCGGCAAATCGAGTTGGCTTCTTGGCCCGCAGGGTGCCGGTGGTCACCTCAGCGCCTGGTGCCGATGTGGTCCCCTATTTGGGGCAAGTCTTCTTACGCTTAAAGGACCTCGTCGGATGCTCTCGGGAGACCCGGTGCTCGGGGACCTGGTCCAGGACAAGGTTGTCCACCTCCTGCGCTGGCGCTTTGAGGGGAGTAGGCGCTGCTTTTGTGGACTTGGCAGGGGGGGCAGCGCAGGTCTGGAGAAGTTCCGCTGCATGACAAGGAAAGAAAAAAATATAAGTAAACAAGTCAAATGAGTAGGACTAGAATAAAGGAAAAAATAAGCGATACGACGGCAACTTGTGGCGTCGAATCCTACCTATATCACTCACGGGGTCAGCGGCACAGCCCGACAGGTGGAAGTGCCGAAGGAGTCGGTCATTTAGTCAGCTTCACCACGTGAAGGGGGGTCTTATTCCATTGGGCGATAAGGGTGTCATATTTGGCGTTCCGTCTTGGTTTCTTTCGCTGACCCGGTAGCTCGTCCAGCCACTTGGATTGGAGGTCGGAAATTTTGGAAGGGGGGCGAACGAAGAAGAATTTGTTTTGCCAGTTATGAATTTTTGATTTAGGGGTTTTAAGAAATTTAGCACTGTTGCGCGGCGGGGTGGTGTGCTCGTCGAAAGGAGGATCACCGGATGTCAAAGAGATTGAAAGCGTCTTTTTTAGAGAGAGAATTTATGCAAAGAAGGGAGAAGAAGAGGATTTTTAGAGAAGTGATGAGATGAGGGAATGAGAAGGGAAGGATGGGTATTTATAGAAGATGGTGAGTCTTGGTCCATCTTGACCCTCCATTTCAAATCAAATCAAAGGGGGAGATTGTGTCTTGGGGAGCAAGTTGGGGATAGGTAGGTAAGGTAGAGAAAACAATGTGCAACACATGGTAGGTGAGCACATGGGTTGACACCCTCACCTCGGCATCGGCGCTCCCACCTCGGCACCAACACCCTCACCTCGGCATCTTGTCCCACACAGCAGGTCGGCTCGGCGTTGCTATGAGCTCGGCATCCTCGGTCCGGCTCGGCAGGAAGGGTGTCGTCCCGCATTGTTCGGCATCCGTTGGTAGCGGCTCGGCTTCTCGGCTTGTCAGGACGGCATCTCGCGGCGCAGCTTGGTAGTTTGTCAGGACGAGGTAAGGGCCAGCTCGTCATCCCACGGCTGCTCGGCATCAGGGTCCGCGGCTCGGCAGGAGGCCAGCTCGGCAGATCTTCGGCATCTTCACTTCGGCTCGACGGTGGAGTGCTCGGCGTCCGCAGCTAGAGCTCGGCGTCTCGGGGTGCTCGGTGTCGGCTCTTCGGTAGGTCGGCAACGATGGCAGCTCGGCGTCGCGACGTGGCCAGCGGCTTGGCCTCGCGGGGGGTTCAACCTTTCGAGCACCTCGGCGTCCGCTCCTCGGCAGGATAGCTCGTTGCCTCGGCATTGGCAAAATGTGGCAGCTCCTCGGCGCCGGCTCCTCGGTGGACAGCTCGTCGGCTTGGCAATTCGGCGTGAGCAGCTTGACGGGTCGGCGCTTGAGTCTGGCGAGTGGGTCGCGCCTCGGCAGCTCGGCGCTCGACAGGTCGGCGTCTCGGTGTTTGGGTCGCACCTCGACAACTTGTCGAGTTGCCTCGTTGGTTAGCACCGCTAGCTAGCTCGATACAAAGGGTCGTGCTGCGACACTTTACATAAGGCTTCGTGTGATAATAGGGAAGTTTGAAAGTAAACGCGGTTATGCGACTGATCACCACGACATGAGTAATTTCTCTATTTCTTAGGCCAAGCTGCGACAGCTAGTCCTAGAAATGGGGGGGCTAGATGATACGGCCATGTGAATGGGGTTCGTCTCAGACCGGTCGGAATTCGAGTTTAGTTATAGTTATATTTGGTGGGCGCTAGGTGAAGACCAACTCAAGGTGAGCTAGGCGAAGGCGATCGCCTAGGCAGCGGGGCATCTCCGCAGCTAGGCAACTAGGCAGCTAGGCGCCTCGGCATTTGGGCAGCTAGGCACCTCGGCACCTTGGCACCTGGGCAGCTAGGCACCTCGGCACCTAGACAGCAGGCACCTCGGCACCTAGGCAGCTAGGCCAAAGGGTTCGGCCGAGGTAACCAGAGCCCAACGGTGGCTTCGTGGCCAAGTCACAAGGAAGTTTGTAGTGATAAGAACTCTGAAGTTCTTGATATCTTCGACCTAATTTAGAGATAAACACGAGGAAGACTTCCAGAACAACTAGGACTCTTCATGGCCTCACCTATAAAAAGGAACAGGTTCATTCATATTACACAACACACATACACATATTATCTGGTTACTCTGCCGTTTTCTCTCCGAAACACCACCACTGACTTGAGCGTCGGAGTGTCCACGCTGGGACCACCCCCGGCGTGTTTTGCAGGTACCGGCGATCGAGAAGGTTTAATTCGGTTCAAGAGGAGCGGTCGAGCGGTTCAGGTATTTGTGGTATAACAGGGTAAAGTGATGGTATGGAACACTTGTCCTATTTCTATTAGATGGTTATTATAGATAGTTAAATTTTGAGACAATTAATTAACGACAAGTGTCAAATTCTATGTCAAAAACAATTTAATATTTTTTTAATATTTAGAAAATTAATCAAACTCTAATTACTAAACTAAATAATTAATTAATTAATTGTTTAATATATATTATTGGCTAACTAAAGAATGTCACATGTATATTTTAATGACCAATTTAAAAATGTCACATGTTATTTTTTTGGAGATTAAAAGTAAATAATTATCTCTTTTAATAATTATTAAAGAGATAAAAATCTGAAATTAATGAACCAATAAAATTGAAGTCTTGTTTCCAAAATTCTCTCTCCTAATTATCTCTTTAAATGATTATTAAGAGACAAATATTAGAAATTCATTGAACAATCAGATTAAAGTCTTTTTTTTCAATACACTCTCCTAATTATCTCCATCGTATCACGCAGAGAGGTTAGCCCGCGCAACCGCCGTCCTCCTGGCTCTATTCTCTGAGCTCGGCGGGCCTCCTGTTTCGTCCGCCCCTCACCCCTCCACCTCGCCGTCCCTGGAAAGACTTCAACCACTCGCCGGGATCTCGACCGACCCTCCTCCGATCGGTCTGCAGCAGTCAACGGGAGGTTTTGACCAGTCTAGTCAAACAGCTGTTGCCTCCATGTTAGGGCTCGACCAAAACATATCTTTCCACTCCAACCTCTTGCAAACAGGCCACTTGCTAGGGTTTAGTAGGGTGGAGGATGATGTGGACGGTTCTTCAAATTTCAGATCTCCCGCTCAAGGCCAACTCTTTGGGCCACAGGTAACTTCAAAGCCCTCATCTCCCCCTCTTCCTTTTTCTTTTGAGTCTTTTGCCTCTTTGGGCCTCCCTCTTGAGCCCACCATCTCCAAGCCCATTTCATACAATCCCTCTAAACCCCAGCCCACCCCCTCTATCTTACCCTCTCGCCCAAACCAACCCAATAAGCTAACCCAAACACATCCCAACACCCACCTTATCACAGCCCAAACACAACCCATCTCTCCCAACCTAAACCACCAACCCACCAGCGCAACCTCAGGCCACCTCAAAAACAACCCCCCAGCCCACTCTCCCCTCAACCTCTTAGACGCTCCACCCCCTCCGGCCTCCACCTCTGCGACAACCCTTCTGCCACCGGCCAGCGCCACTACCTCGTCGCCGACCGGCGGCCTCAGCACAGGCACCGGTCCTCTCCCATCCTCCGGCTGCACCCCTTCGAACGGTATTCTTGGTCGGGGACCCGTTTTTCAGATGGGTAAACACACCAATGGGACCACTCTTCTGGAGACATTCGGTCCAACCTCTAGTGCCGTTTCCGGCAGCCCTCACCCTTTCGGAGAATCTTCTAAGGTGGCCTGTTTTATCGACATCGGGCATAGTTCTCCGTCGGACTTTGATCTTCTAGTTTCTAGCTCTGCTCCCCAGAACCCCGCAATTCGGACAACCCCCGACGAGTTCCACCCTTCTACCGCCATCGGCCCCCGGGACTGTCTCAGCCTCAGTCTTGGCAAATCAGGCTTTGTCCACCGTTGGCCCCCGATCTTTTTGGGATGCAATCACCAGCAATCCCGTCGGGAAGTCAGGCCTACCGCTTAGGTCATTTCGGGACAAGCAACGGTGGACTATCACGCGCTCCCGGGAGAGTCGAATTACTGTTAGTTTTCCCATGCCTGATATTTCTTCCTTAGTCAAGCCGTTTGCTAATGCCTTTATTTTTATGTTTTTTTTCTCTGTCCCCTCCCTCCAAGACCTATCTGTTGGACTAGGGAAGCTATGTTTCAAGGGTAGACTTACTCCTAAGTATTTGAATTTCAACCATTACATAGTGTTTTTTGAGTTGAGAGATGACTATAACACAACACGTATTAAGACGTATGTGAACGTTTGTGGGTGCTCTGCACGAGTGTTCAAGTACACCCCCAATATCTCCCTGTCGACTGAGTCTCCCATTGTCCAAGTTTGGTGTTTCTCCCAGGCCTTCCCACGCATATATTTGACCCCACTACCCTCATCTCGATTGCCAGTTGTATTGGCAATCCGATTGATATTGATGACGCTACGACCAATGTTGTAGCAAATTATATTTTTATCGAGTATCGAATCGAAGGATTCGTTTCCCGGGTCGATCTCATGAAAAAAGTTGTTAAAGTCTATGAAGTACGTTATTAAAGTCAAGACCGGCGTAGAGAAAATCCAAAATCAATTTGCGACGAAGACCAAGGACTCGTGTTCTTCACGTTCTTGAAAAATTACGGCATTCGATTCGAGATCAAGCTGTCAAGCACTCGGAGAAACGTTATCTAAAATCAAAGTCAAGACCGACGGAGATCAAATTCAAGTTTCGTCTTGAAAAGTTTCAAATCAGTAGAAGATTGTTCTTGAAAAAGTTAATAAGAGGAATAATAGAAATTTTTGTAGTCCACTACATTTCATTGATCCGTTGAATTCAATTTGTGCGAATTTCTTGTGTTTATTAATATAAGAAAACGAAATTTGCGTTACAGGTATGTTTAGATAAAATAGTTTTAAATGATAATAATTGGTGTTAATTCATGTTTAAAAAAATATCAAAATTTGTATTTTTTTCATTCTCTATAAATAGAGACCACATTTAATAAGTTTTAGAACACAATTATAATTTCTCTATAAATAAAGACCGCATTTGATTCTTGTAGAAGAATAATTGGAGTTGACAGCATTGTAACAAGATCACTCAGTCACCACTTTGCATTAGCACTTTTCCACTTAACCAGACACTAAAATGATATATTAGTACTACGAAACAAAAATGAAACAAATATAATATTACATAAATGTGTGTATGTGTGTGTGGTTGTGAATGAGTTCGAATGATTTTTAGTGAAAGGAATAAATTTATATTGTGGCCATAAGATCTATAAACCAACGGC